AGGATGGCATATGCTTCCCCAGCAAGCTGGTCTGCTGCACTCACTGGGAATGGTCATGCCTGAAGGTTTTTAAATCACCAAGACACACCAGCAACAGTAACAGCACCTGTCCCCAAACCCAATACTTCACTCCCTTCACTTAGGATGACACTGAGCTTCCACAAGACATTCTGTTCCCTGGCAGCACCATAGATTTAAATGTTTCACTTGAGAGGAAGTTTCACTGTAAGCCAGAAGGACAGCATACTCCAACACTTATCGCAGAAAAAGAGGATAGGCAGAGATAGCAGAGATGTCTGAAGTCCCTTCTTTTGCTTCTGTTTGGAATATAAAAAAATCTCAATTCTTCCCTATGCCAATTTTCTTGTAGCTGGAAGTAACTATTGTCTCATTTTAGTGATCCTAGTTTCTCAAGAAGACAAGACATCAGGCAATCCTATACTTTACTGTCTGCTTACCACCACTGCTACTGTGTAGTCTCACATAGCATTTGTGCGTTGCCCTTGCATTCACCAGCAAGGAACAAACAGATCCATCCATCAGGCTCCAGCAAATGTGTATCTGCAGACAAGGGAACTCATGTTTATTACTGGTAGCAGTAACTCCTTCCCCAGTGAGTCTGAACAGCCTCTCTCTCCAGGTTAAACCAAATGGCTTTGGTTGTCTGTCAGAGATGTAGGTGAATGGATGTGCCGCCCGAAAACTCCCACCTCCCAGATCATATACTACTTATGTGAAAACAATGGGTAAGCTTCTGGCAGCTCTTCCTGTTTAAAGTGGGCTGGGGAAAAGCAGCATATAATTTTCTGGCAGCAACACTGGAACAGTAAAACAAATGAGTCCCCACAGCTATTCCCACCTGTTCTTAGAGCAATATATATATTGGATATATACCCACCCCTGGGTCTATCTGTGATGTTAACTCAAATTATAAAAAAAAAAAAAAACAAAACCAACTGAACCCAGACCCCAGACTTTCCTGCATAGGAAAAAGGGTGTAAAAGAGCAGGTGGAAATTTCTCTTGTTTTCACATCTCACTTAAGTTGGGCCTAAACTCCTTCCATAAAAGGGAATAACAGCAGGACAGATGAGTCTGCAACAACAGCATCAACCCAAGGGTGATACTGACCAGAGGTACTGTAATACATGAATATGGAGCAAGATGAGGGTGAGCCAGAAGATGATGTTTGTCTTCTATGCAGAGCCCAAAATTTGTCTGTCTGTTACAGGAAATTACACTAATACTGAATCACAGTTCAGTACGCATCATCATCCTGTACAGATGTTTTCCATGGTGAGGAAGTTGTTAGGTAGGTTTTACAATTTTATGCAGTAATTTTGTTTCAAAATGTGTCTTAGAGCATCCAGTTTTCCTTGTGCATGAAGGTATCTGCAGCATTTATTATTTGTATACTCTCCAGTAAAAACTCTGGCCAAGACACTCCAAGGATAGGTGCAATACCCTTTCATATTCTACCTGGAAAAGACAAATAGTTTGCAAATATTCTCTAACAAAACATACAGAAGAGAAGATGAAAGAACTGAAAAGGATCTGTGAAATAAAATGGAGATATGTCTCATGACAAATGCACTAGGATTGCCTGGGATTTTTCTGAGATATTCTTAATTTTTTTTCCATGTTATTTTTTGTTAGTAGATATATCTTCAGAAGGAATATACTAATTTAAAAATGCCATTATGATTAGAATTGGCAAGCTTTCTGTGCTCCTGAAACTTTTTCAGAACCCTTGGGAAATTGCTTTAAAAAGTCCCAAAGATTCTAGAGGCTGACAGGGAGTTAATTCAACTCATCTGTAGCAAAACATGTTTAAAATTTATTTATTTTAATAGATATTAAATGTTGACAGTGGAGTAAAGAGATATGCTGATAATAGAAAAATCATCTCTTTTGCAAAAAACAGTAATGAAGCATTATTGCACAAGGGGAAAAAGAAGAAAAAGCATTTCATCCTGAATACTCTTTCCCCTTAGACAATATGGCCTTTAGCAAACTGTGATGCTGTCCAGGTCTTTAAATAGTGCAGTTTCCAAACAAAAGATTGTGTAAAAAAGATTTGAAGAAGATATATTTATAATTAATGATGGAGCTTGGAAGAAGTCCAACAATGAAAGCAATTCTTGTTTTCTAACCTACAGAACAAGCTTTCTATAAACACACAGAGTGAAAATTACCCCAGTAAAGAAGCAAAGCGATGAAGTAAAACAGGGTTCACATACCATACTTGAAAATGTTTCAGACTTTCTGATATTCTCAACTAAGATGACAGCTATCTATCACAGATTTAACATCAATGGAAGTCTGTGGAGACAGCCTTGCTGCTGTATCAATACAGCTCCAAATGGTCCTGCTTCCTTTCATAGCTACTTCTGGATGGAAACAGTTCTACTATCTTTTCAGTAGCCCGTAAGTCAGCATTGCATAGAGTGAAGCAGCTGAATTTCAGTTGTTCTTTTAGAGTTTAGTGTTTCATTCTCCTGGTTTGTGCTGTTTTTATAATTGCTAGTTCTCTGATTGAGGCTCTAGCCTAAATACAGGGGGGAAGGGGCGGTTTGGTCTTTGCAAAAGCCAAACCAAAGATGTTTCAGTTCCAGGTCCCATTTTTTTCTGAACCCTGAAAGTTAAAGCCTGGATGGCTTGGATAAGTGCTTCTAATTCTAGCATACCACTATTTAAAACAAGAGGGAGGATGTGTTTTTAAAAAGCTAAAACTAGTATGGCCTGAAATGAAGTCTCTGAAGACATTTAGGGAGGATTCAGATAAACAATTCCATTCCTCTCCCCACCAATTAATATATCTCATTAATTTTTATCCTATCCCTTCCTTGCTTTCTCTCTCTCAGATATTGTTTGCTTCCCCTCAATTTCCAATGGAGCTTGAAATTAGATTTCCTTTACCTCCTTGCTAGTGAACAAAGCTCTGAACTGCACATCCTGGTGAAAGTTAACTCCCAGACTGACTCACTGAGTTATCTTCCACCTCTGTACCTGAGCTGCCTGAAACCACACAAAAGAAATTACTGTGTAGTCCTGTGTCCATCTCACACCGTCGTTATTTGATTGTTGGAAGGATAGCTCTGAGTTTAGTTGGACAGAAATAGAACCACCCAATTGTAGTGGTTTTAGTCTCCATTTATGACAGCAGAAATTGGGCCACACTGTTACTCAAGATAGAAACAGCACTCATTGTCACAATTTATAACTTCATCAGGAGTTAACTTGGGAGCTGCAAGCTGGCAGCAAAAATTCATACATTGCTGCAAACTGTATTTTCATAATTTCTGTTGATACTGGCAAAGTGCTTGTTTTGGCTTTCTGCATGTTGCAGTCATTAGTATAATATAACATAGCCACTTAGATATATTTAGGGGAAGGTCATTTTTATACAAATTGTTATGTCCTGGGAAGTTAAATAAACAACCAAGTTAAAGATATCAACAATCCCACTCCTTGATCTTTGCCAAAGTGAATTTTAAACACTAGTTGGTTCAATTGGAGGAAAAATCAAGCAGTGATTATGTCACTTGCAAGAGAGAGGACATTACATTTCTTTTTATTTGAGGACTCACCTGGAATGCTACCCCTTGAAAATGGCTAGATGTATCCGTAAAGCTAGAGGTGTTCAAAGACAAGCTACAACACACCTGGTCCCTATACCATTAGCAAGATTACTCATCCTGTTCATAATAATGAAAATTCCTATTGAGACTTCACTGAGCAGAAAGTACAGTATCCTAACTGTTTATTAACAGCTCTTCGGAATGCGTTTCCAAGGCACAAAAGGACACTGACCTTGAAAATAGTATTTGGGTGGAAGTAAACGTCCAGGGTTTTCATTTTGCAAGTATGTAACCATAAAAGTTACAAAGCAAGTCACTTTTGAGAAGTACTCATCTTTTACGCTCATTAGATTGCAATCCAGCAATGACTGAACATGATATTTAAACAGTAGTGTTTTTGCCAATGAGTTGCATGATCAACACGAACTGCTAATGTTTTCTATTCTAAACCTTCTCAAAATGTCAAGTGTTCTTGTCAGCTGAGTTTAAGTGGCATAAAAGTAACTTTTGAAATTGTTGTTGATGAGATACCCTTGGGAAACTCAGTATATATACTAAAATTATATTCACAATATTCTCTAATCTCCCCTGCTGCAAAAGAATTAGGCTCCCAACTCACATTTCCATTGATGGTAATGTAGCACAGTCTGGGTCTTTCTTCCAGAAAAGACACTGAGCATTCTTAAATAACACAGGTCTTGTGCCCTGAATTTTCTCAAGTGGCAAGAAAATAAAAACCTAAATTAAAGAAATTCCTTTTAAAAACCTAGACCTGATAACTAACTCTGTTACAACCCTCGTAATTGCAGCACTGTTAATTTTTATATAGCTTTTTTACACACCAGATCACCAGCACAGCAGAAAAATTCACAGTTGTCTGAGTCACACTGGCTGTAGCAGATTCACAGATTTCTTCAGTCCCAGTTTCTTCTGTGCCTTGAAACATCGGAAAAAGGTAAGGAAACTGGTGCATTAGCTAAGGTCCTTGCCAAGGATTTGGAAGACCTGGGCTCAGTCCCCTGATACTCATGGTTATCGTGTGTGAAACTATAGGAGCCATACAGAACTGCTTGCAATAACAAACAGGCAGAACTTTGATGTGCCTGTCCAGAGGTCTCGCAGCCTCTGTTAGGTGCCTCCAGAGCTCTTTTGGCTCTTGCAGGGTCTCCTTTGGCCCAAAAACATCATCAGCCCATCAGTGCTGATGATGTTTGTTACACCATTTACAGCAAAGCCATGAATTAATTTTCTTCTAAATTTCTAATTAAGTCAAGATCATCATCGACACTGTATTTCCAGTGCCATGGATTTCACGTGTTGCAGATTAGGTGTTTCCTGAAGTCCCCTTTTTGACTACCAAGTGAATTATTTTTTACTCAAAGTATTTCCCAAAAATTTTGTTAGACAGTTGGAACTTTATTGGATTGCTAGCACAGGGACTGCACATTTGTGATCAGTGTTTGGTACTTTATTCACACATCAGAGAGTCACAGAATGGGTCAGGTTGGAAGGCAGCACAGTGGGTCATCTGGTCCAGCTTCCCTGCTCAAGAAGGGTCATCCTAGAGCACATGGCACAGGACTGTGTCCAGAAGGTTCTTGAATATATAAGATCTTTTACTCAGAAGATGCAGAAATGCCCTAAAGTCTCTGTTCACTTGTTGAAAGGCGAGTACTTCATGCTGTTGTTCCATGCGCAAGTGTCTGCAGTAATAAATAGTATTTTGGACAGGGAAACTGTTTTCAGGTTTAGCACACCACAACAACTACAGTGGTGCAAAGCATAAGCATTTATAAAGATGAGCTTTCGTAAATGGCACTTCACGGGTAAAGTGAAAATAAGCAAAAAAATCTAAAAGCAGGGTAGAATTTATTATCTGTATTTTTATTATCTGATTTTGTATCTGCATTTTTTCACTTGACCTGTAGCAAGCATTAGATATCAGTTCCATTAAATAAACATTTCAGAATTTGAATGCTTTCAAATTGCTAACTGCTCATTTGTGATCATTTAGTAACGCTCAGTAATGATGTCTCTAGAACAAGTAATTCATGCCTAAACTGGCTTTCACACTGCTGAAATGTAAAAGTTCAAGCATGCTGGTAGAACAAGTTGGCCTCCTAAGAACATTTCAGGGTCATTTCACATGTTTAATTGCATCTGGTCTTGTAACTCTGTTATGACACTCCAGGATCTAAAAGCCTGTTTTCACCCAGGTAATATTCAGTGCTGCAGCCTCATTTGCATTGTATTCACAAACTTAGCAAGTGGGTTGAAAAATGCACAGGGATATTCAGCAGATAGCTTAACCCACATCCAGAGATGTCCAGAATGTGGGTTACATACAGGTAGAAGAGGTAGAAGAATACAGCTGCCACATCCAGGTCAATGAGATGCATCTGGGTTCTCAGCCCATCCTTGCCTCAGCTGCCTTCCTCTGTGAACCAGGCAACTGGGCCAGTTGGCAATGCTGCTTAGCAGGGAGAGCACTTTCACTGTTAGCCCAAACTGCTCACAGTCCTGATAGTTGTAAAGTCCAGCATTTTGCAATATCGACTCACTGCCATGAAGTAGGAAATTAATCTTTAGAACAACACATAAGGTAGGAGCTTTCTTAATTACTAACAAGGATCACAAACCCCTCAACAAAGTACAAAGCCATAAATGCAGCAAAAAACATCCTACCAGTATGAATTTTTAGCCAAAACATCAGAAGCCAGGGGACTGATTAGAAGCAAAAGGCTACTCATTTTTGTATAAAATAATAGTAACTTTAATGCTTATAATTTTCAGGTGATTTATTTAGCCTTCACACACATCCACAATGAAGGACAGCAAAACAATTCTGTCTGTGCAACATGGGGATGACAAGGCAGCAAGAATACAGAATCTGCCCAGGACCAGCATGAGGAGTCTGGAATGCCTGGCTGCCAGCCCCATTCTCAAAATACATCGTTCCTTTCTAGAGACAGCAGCTGTTTGTTCTCTGACACTTACAGAGCATCTAAGATTATTTCCATTGAAGTTAATATTCTGTGTGGTCCAGTGAGAACAAAATAGGGTCATAGATGTTTAGGCTGGCCCAGTTTCACTGAAGGCTCCTGGTAAACCCATGGTTACACACAACTCTGTAATTATCAGGTTCATTTTGGGAAGCTGAGTGGCACATGAGGAAGGCTGGGGCAATAACACAAAGGCTGTGCACTCAGCTTTGTTCTGCCACAAGCATGGCCAGTCTTTTGGTCAGGGCAATTCCCATAGCCTGAAATGAAGCTGAAGGTTGCATGCACTCTGATATACTCCATTGCTATGGTGTGTACTTTGTGCAAGGAAAATCCAAGCATTGTTAGAGGTGTGTGCCTTCCACAAGGAAAATCCAAGCATTTTCCCAGCCTATGACTGATGCTCACACCAGAGATGCGAATGCATAATATCTTGGGCAAAAAGGCTTCCTCTAGGATATATGAGCATCGATCTGCATTTCAGTTGTGTGATGGGCTTGTCCATTCCATGACAAAGTGGGCATTGTGGGGTTCTAGGGAAAGTGGCTAATAAGGGTGTATAGACAGGAGAATTGTCCTGGCAACACAGGATCCAGATTTGAAGCCCCAGGAAGGATGTCCTTGTTATGCTCTAGTCTCTTTGTGAGACCTTGGGAACACATAAGCATTTTAACTTTTTTCCACAACAAAGCTGAGGATATAATTTTTTTTTAAAAATGCTATGTTAACCAAAATGTGATATTTTTAGCAGATTTTAAAGGTACTGTCTTCAATGCAGACTTGCATTGAAGCTGGTGGACAGTACTGTGTGACTTGAAGAAAGACCTTCTGACTTCAGTGCTTCCGACTTCCATCAGGTTCCTGCACAAACAGGACGCAGAAGCCAGGAGCCATGAGCCACTGACATTAGTATATCAGGAACAGCAGCATTTAAATGAATATACTCATTTCGACTGAAGAAAATTATGTCAATCTGACTGCTTATTACAAACTTTCCCCTGCTTTTTGGCCCTTGCTATATGTCCAGAGGGCATACTGAGACACTATAGGCATTTCCCTAGGGCAATCCTAAGTGCTGTGAAGCACTTTGGACATCCTTACTGTCACTGAAGAAATGCAGGTACCATGAAATGATAATAAAGCCCACATAAGAATCCCAAAGTGTGTCAAACAGCTAACACTGAGCCTTGCGTAATAACCTGCAATTAGCATGTAATGCCCAAGGCATTTGCACATTGACAACATGGTTTAATCCAGTAATAAAGTAGGCTAAAATGATTATTATAGCTAATAGTATTTTTAACAGAAGTGAAACTACAGAAAAGAAGCTACAGAAACATATCGATTTCAGCTGTGCCTCCCTGACATGTCTGTATAGATTTTGTTATTTACGGTCCATTTTTTCAAAAAGGACCCAAGGCAAATGTAGAAATCCCTGGTTGTATGAAATGGATGGTTGTGCATCAAAATGAGGGATTTGCATGTTTAACTGCCCATATTTGTATCCTTCTATCCAGTTTGCATATGCAAAGGCAAAGATTGTTATATTTATCAGTGCATAAATGAAAGGAGAAGAGATAAATGACCTGGTTTGCAGAGGTGCTGAGCACATGCAGTTTCCATTTATTTCAACTGGAGTGTGAAAAACAGGCCCTAAGTGACTGGCTCAAGCTCACACAATGCATGATTGTCAGTGCCAGGAAGAAAACCCAGAAATCCTTCCAGTCTAATCCTCCCCGTCTAAATCCTCCCCAGCCTAAGCTCTAGACACAGTCTCTCCAAGAAATAAAGAAAAAAAAAAAGAAAAGAAAAGAGAAAAAAATCTGTCCAATAGCCTCACTACACTCTTATTCCTATCTTAATTTGCTAAGAGAATAAAAAAAAGGGACATGAAAAACTCCTGCATAATCTTTAATGACTAGCAAATAATGCCAAGTAGGGCAAGTAAATATGTGTGAAGCATTGCTCACACACCCATCAACTTGCATGTGTGTCACAGATGGTTTTAGTGAAGAGCCAAAAAGAGAAAGAGAGAAAGGAAAAGGAAAACAAGTCCAGATAAAGAGTAAGCTAGAAAGAGAGACAAAGACATTCTCTGTTATTAAAAAAAAAAAAAACCTTAAAAATGCTACAAAAACTAATGATAAAAAACCCCACCATTCCCTTTCCTTGATAACGTGTAGGCTAATCTCTACATAAATAGAAATAACAGCCCTTTGAAATGGCAATGATTTGCTTGGAAAACATTCATTAAAAACGTCCTGCAATTATTGACTCTATCATTATTTCTTGGCAGCAGCTGAGTCTCACTGCATCTTGTGTTGTTTTTCCAATGAAAACCAGAGTATTGTTTGGGGAAAAAAACCTACAAAAACAGAAACAAAAAAAAAATCAGACAAAAAAAAAACCCACAAGGACATTGTATTTGAAATATGTGCTTGGTGACATGGAGCTGATTGCCCAAAGGAATCAGGATACAGATATTTGTATTATTGTACACGTGAGTAGCTTGAATCATGTACTGCTCGCTCTCTTTGTTTGGATTATGCAGCTTGGCTGGGCAGCCATCCAAAAGATTCACATTAAATTCTAGCTATATTCAGCACAAAAGTCATCTAACATCAGAGAATCAAAGTTACATCAACCAACAAGCACTAAGGAATTGATAAGCCACTAAAATTAGGTCATCTTCTAGCAGCTGCTTTTGATGGATGAAGTAGAATTTAGCCTCAGGTTTTCTATTTAAAGATCTGTTACAGCATCTTTTCCTGCAGCTACAATGAGAACACAACAAAGTATAATGCTTCTGATTAAATGTTTAATCATTACTCTTTACTCTTCTGATTGTTTCTGCCATGGCACAGATTTACAGCACATGCTATTTGTAGCCTTCCTAGCCCTTTTTAAACTGGCATTAAAACAGTCAGGATTTTTAATTCCTTAGTTGAAAAACCTAATAAATTATTTTTTAAAAAATGGGTAAAAAACTTTCAAAGCTGTTTACTTGGCACATTTAAAGAGACAGACTTTCATTTCTGAAACTCAAAATGAGTAAGCAATTATCCCACCACTGTGCCCTGTGGAAGAATCACCACATCGCTAGGAACTGTATGAATACAAAAGTACATATCTGTGCACAAGTACATGAGACGGCTAAGGAAATTCTTATGTTTCTATGATTTTATTTGTGGCTACTTTTTGGGAAATTATCTCATTAAATCTAATTAACATATACTTTTAAAAGTACTAGCTAGTGCACTGGGCTATCTTTGGTCATTAGTGACCAGCATTATAATTGCTAGAATACAACATATGCCCTACTAAGACATGCTTGTGGTATCAGGTTAATACAAATAGTTCCATCATTATCATCATTAGCATCAAAACCATGACACAGCTTTAGAAGAGAGTTCAAAAGGAAATAAACAAAAAAACCTGAATTAATTTCAAATACATAGAACCTGCCCTTGACCTGTTCAGAAGGTCAGCTGGCTGCAGCTTGTGTAAAACACTGTTGTGTCATCATTTCATAGATGAAGCTAATGCAGGACTTCATTGTCATGGCTTTCAATACGACATCTCTCATGTCTGTTAAAATCAGTAGAATCTTATTTAAATAACCTTGAAAAATAGGAAGGGAAAAGAAACTACATCCATCCAACAGAAAAATGAAGTAAATAGTCGTCTGCCTTTTCAAGTAA